TCGACTTTTAGTTTTCGATTTAGACTTTTAGTTTCAAACTTAGACTTTTGGTTTTCGTTTAAGACTTTTTAGTTGTAGTTTTCAATCTGACCCAATAATCCCTCCATAGACCTCTGTGCCTCTAGGGGGGTTCGGGGGCATGCTCCCGCGCAAGAAATTTTTTTACATTTTAAGGTTAAATGCATCAATCTGGTGCTCTTTGAGAGATCAAAATTAAGAGCTTCAACCCAAGAACTGCTCGTTGAACAAAGAAAAAGCATTGATTTGTACCTGGACATTAAAGCATCTTTTTAGTTATGAGAGTCTCAGTCTACATTATCAATGGTGTTTTAGGATGCCAAACAATTATTATAATAATGTAATAATGATTTATATAATTATTCCTATGACGTAAAATCCATATAGCCTATAAATGTACTGTATAAATGAAAATGAATATTTCCAAAGTATATTTTAGCCTACATTACACTATAGTATAGGAAAATTAAAATACGTTTGTCCTAATTTCTTCACTTGCAAGAAATAAACCCTTGAGCTTTTATAGGAGAAAACACCAGATCACCATGATCGCGTGAGCAAAGAGCGCACTTTTCTTTCAATCACGCAGCACAAACAGAATGCCCATATACTTAATTAAAGTCTTGTGCTGTTTTATAAAGGCACAAAGCCATATCATGGTTTCGATTTTAGTTCGTTGTCAAAATATAACGCTAGAGACCTTTATAGTATAGGCAGTAGTTTACATCTCATATGTGTTGGGAAAAGGGGGAAGAGAGAGTTCGGCAAAAGGCGGATTCGAACTCGGGTCGAACGCGTCAAAAGCTCCTATCAAGCACTACCAAAGTCCTTTTAGGCAAGTCATGCCACTCGGCCGCCATCTTGGCAACGCCTCCGGGCAGCTATTTCGGACTAACAAGACCAGGCTCCTATCTAAATGAATAGGCAGAGACCCAGAACTGCACTTTCACTGGTCACCGGGACATAAAAACTGCATGTATACAAACACTAATAAAATATGATAAAAATCGCTGAAAAAGTGTGATGACTTTGCCCCAAAATAAGGTTTAAAACGCCTTTTTCCCCACAGGTTATACTTTTACTGCGCATGCGCAAGGGTTCTCTCGCTCTCTGTTGTGCGCGCGCTACTGCTCGCTCGCTCTAGATTCTGGGAGATTTGAACTAATTTGCGGTCATCAGGGAGCCGCTATCAATCTGCGGGAGACTCCCGGAACTTCCGGGAGACTTGGGATGTCTGATATTTACACAACTAACACATCAAATCTGCCGCCTTTTCAAACAGTAACATATTTTCCGCTGTCGCAAACCTCAACTGTGCGCATGCGTCGGTGGAACCAGACGATAGGCTCAAATGTTTTCCGGCTTGACTGTTAAAAGCAGACGATTGGCTTTCCAGCGGGAGGGGCGTGGCATGTGCATACAACCGCCATCTTTGGCGTTACGGGTTTTCCCTATATAGTTGTATTAAGGATTGGGGAAGTGGCATGTCTCTATATAAATAGTCTCTGGCACTACACACCCTACCACCCACGCCACTGTAGCTATTTCACGACTTGCGTCTTTTTGTTAAAAAGACAGGCATTTAGTGCAAATACGCTCCGTTATCGAAAATGTAAAAAAAACGGGGTTTTTTTTCCCTTGCTTGGGCCTCAAGTGCGCATGGCTATAACACTTAAAGCTCCTGTGGGTAACTTTTGAAAACATGTATTTGCTAAAACTGTCATTATGTCCTGACAGTAGAATATGAGACAGATAATCTGTGTAAAAATCAAGCTCCTCTGGCTCCTCCCAGTGGTCCTATTGCCATTTGCAAGAAATACACGCTCCCGGTCAGAAACAACCAATCAGAGCCGAGAGGAGTGTCTTGGCTGTGTCAGTCAAGCTCGTGTACACGCTGATCACACCCCTCTCTTGCACAGCGCGAGCGCTGGAGCGCGAGCCGTCGTTCAAACTCAAGATTGCCGGCGTGCTGCAGCTGTGCTTATGACGGAGAAACAACCTAAACTGCCAATTCTCGAGTGACACCTGCTCATAAAACAAAGAGGTAAAAGGAAAAAGACTGATGACGATAAACAAGCGAAAAAGAAAGAATTACACAGAGCCCATTGACTCGGTGTCAAAACTCTAGCCGCATAACATGTAGATAAAATGTCACGCACTCTGCTAAGCAACAATTGAAACCTGCTATTCACTGGCTTGTCATGTTGCTGAAATAATGTACTAGCACACCTTATCTAGCATTATATATCGCTAGAATAATTACTTGCATGCTGTAACGTTAGTTTACCGTTATATTAACGTTATCTTACTAGCTATTTATAACTTATAGAAAGAGTGCAACGTTATAAAGTTACATGTAGGCTATTGGAAAATACATAATGATTTGAGGACCAAGTTTGTAGTCAAAGTATGGGCAGGCCATAGTCAATGTAAAGCATATTATTGACGTTTAGTCCCTATTAGTGAATGTGCCATATACATTTTTATCCGCTGTTATCGGTGGCCCTGTTTACTAGCCTGCGCGTTCACGACAGGCTCCGCTGTGGAGGACGAGCTGTGGAGGGAGGGCTGTAGTGCAGCAGAGAGCAAGGGGGTGGGACCTGTAAGTTGTGCTTGTTCAAATTTTCAGGCTAAGTCAACGTTTTCTCAAAACTCCCTACTGCAGCTTTAACATGGTATAACTATTATCAGACCGGCCCTCGCGGGCCTCGAAACACTACCGGCCCACCGGGGAAACTCCCGACTCTCCCGATTGCCACTCCGCCCCTGCATCCCACAAATCTCCATCAACTGGGCCAACATTTCTAAAGAATGCTTTCAGCAGCTTGTTGAATCAATGCCACGTAGAATTAAGGCAGTTCTGAAGGCGAAAGGGGGTCAAACACAGTATTAGTATGGTGTTCCTAATAATCCTTCAGGTGAGTGTATATGTACTATTCGTGCAATTGAATATATATTTGTTATATATATGCACACAAGCACAGGCACGCACACACGCCTGGTGCCTCCACCATTAGTGCCACACGATTCTGTGCTCCACCACCTTAATGACATTTTTTACAGGATGTAAATTGTTGCTGAACAACCAGCATCCTTCCTCATCATCGCAATCTGTCATGCCCTGCATGTCAAAAAAGCTTTTCTGCCTGGCTTTAGGAAGCCATTTTGTTTTTTTGCCCCCCCAGCTGAGCAGGGCTGTGGGTCTTGGAACAGCAAGTGTATGAAATGACATCATAAATAAAGACTGTACGCAGGGCAGGCCATTTCTCCAGGGTTTACGATTCGACCAACTAGAGAGTGGACAGGGATGTGTAAATCAAAAGACAAGAAAGGGGAGGAGGCTGATAGAGAGAGTGTGAAAAACAGACAATGTGTTTGTACATGCATGTTGAAGTGTATGTTATTTTAGCCCTTTTAACCTATTTCAGTGTAAGAACAGGTTAATGTTTTGTGAGAAAATGGTTATGCGTGAGTCTTTTTTCTATTTCTCTGTGTTAATGAGTTCCTCTTTTTTCTCTAGAGAAGTAAGATTACTGTCCATTGCATCAGGACGTTCAAAGCCATTTTAATGCACTCAAGACAAGCTTCAATTCATAGAACCTCATTACACAAAAGAGCCTAACACACACTCACTATGAATAGCCTAGCCTTCTCAGTCCAAGGACATTGGAATTCATCTGTTGCAACATTGTGTAGACTCTTCTGGGAAAATGATTCCTTCTTACAGTATGAAATAAAAAATCATGAAAGAAATGGATGTATTTGCATATCTATGTGGACAAAGTTCACAGACATGACCTCATTACTCATTGGCTGCAAATGTGAAAAGACGACCTCTTCTCCTCCCCTACGGCAAGCCATCTGGTCAAAGCAAGATTTTAAGGGTAAAAGATAGTTTGGGTACATTTTAGGGCTGAGTCAAAAGACAAGAGTCAAAATAAATAATTGTCATGGCGCTATACAGTCAAATCATCCTGCTTTGACTTCTTTGGGGTCAAATTAACAAAATAACCAGCCATGTTAAATTAAAATGTTACTCAACAATAACTCCTTTTTGGAATTGTTGTATAAAAAAGTTAAATCACACTTGCAATCAAGCTGCAATCAATATCAGCATGGGAATATAACTCAGAGTCAGCATATGGCCATGCTTATATTCAGAGCAACAGCAAGATTACAAATGTAATATTATATAGGCCTTGCCTTGTGTTATATGAAACAGCATGTACAATATCCGTTTGAGCAGAACTGCAATTCTGTGAATCAACGAATGCCAAGTTTGACAGCAATTTCCCCTTGATTAAAAATTTTCTCTCATTTAAAAAAAAAATGAACAGAGAGAGGAAGAGAAAAGCTGTTGTCAAGTATTTCTCTCCTGAGTGCTGCTGACCGATAAATGAACATCGAGTCCAGCAGCTCCATTTTCAGATTACAGCTGCAGATGAAGGCACTCATTGCCTCCACATTGATAAGAACCCCACATCTTCACTTTTACACTCTGCCATCTTCACTTTTACACGCTGCCAAACCCAGACAAAACACAAATGTTCTTGCATTAGTGCTTCATCAATGTGTTGGTTGTCTGTTAAAATCATTCTTTATGCTTCACAGCTGGTTCAAAATAAAGAGTGGGTATGGGAAACCAGTAAAAGTGTATGGTTGTGTGACTTTGAACAGGTCACACACAACATCTATACTCAGTGACCCAATTGAGGGCGCTAGAAGTCAAGCAATAAGCGTAAATTAAGCATGGGACAGATATCTTTTGCATCATTCAGGGTTGAATGCACAATATAAAAGGGCGCTTGACTGCTCTTGCTTCATTCTGATCATTTATGAATTGTCTTAACATTTTAAGTCACATTATAATGGAACCGAAAGCACGTACATAATTTCAATAATTCTTATAAAATACATACAACTGACGAATGTCATACAGAGAAACGCAGGAAAACTAAGATCGTCTGCAGTAGATTACTCACCCTCTATCGTTGCATAGGCTACAGCCATTACGAGCAAAAGACCGGAGATTTGTAACTGCATGCTGTCTTTTCCGGATTCAGTTCCTTCGTGCAATTGAATTATTTCATGCTGTTTGAATTGTGAGTCCCTGTCATCGACAAAGGGGGATATACATATCCTGTCCTTTATTCATACGGCCGGACACCGGGCCGTTTTGTTAAACGATCAGACGTACTGCAACCTGCAGTGTGATGAAGCTATAAATTAATCATCAACAGAGAGTTTTTAGCCTGCTCCATCTAGCAGAGGAACAACAGAGGAAGACGCTCTCTATCTATATCCCCCCACTCGGCGTTTACGTGATGTCGAGAAAGATGCCATTCATTGGAGCAGCTGCAGCGGAGCAGGGTGAGCGCTCGCATCGAGAAGGGGAGGGGATAAACAAACCAAAGTCTTCGAAACGAAAATGTACTTTACGTAAAGACATTAAAGACACTGTTTTTTGCTTAATCACGTCAGAGTTTACAGTAGGCAGGTGACACACAACTGTAAAAAAGGTCATTAAAACTGTCCTTACAATCGAAAACTAACTTGTATTACCTAATCAGACCCGGCAACATTATTAATGTGAAATATTCTGCAAAGGAAAAATTAAATAATTGATATTAATAAAAGGCAATTTTATTAATTATCTTAAGCTAGTATCATAGCATGTGCAAATCAACGGGGGAAGTTTTTTATTACTAATTATTGTATTTTATATTAGCATATTTGTTTTTACCGTTCGTTATAGCCTATGTCTAGCTTTTTGCTTCTGGTGATTATTTTTAGGCTTAAAAAGTTGTGTTCATTTGTGAAGATTATCATGTTGATCAGAACTTGTTTATCACAGAGCTTTACTGTATTTTCTGCAAAAATCTAAAAGCCAATGGAAAATGAGTTTTTGTAAAAGGGGCCAGGGTGATGCTAACAAAAATATGCCATAATTTCAGCGGTCTGTTGGGGTCAAGGTTTTGGCCCTGGTATAGCCCTGTTAGCCCCTGCTGGTAGAAAGCATGTATACAACTGGAGGGAAGATTGAGATGATATAGCCTCGTTCAGACTGTCATTCCGAATCCGTTTCTTTGTGCATATCCGATTAAAATCCAATCATATTTGGCAAGTGTGAGCATAAAAAAATTCACATGAAATGTGATTTTTACAACTCTGTTTTGAGCTACATTCAAATGTGATTTGTAATCCCATTCAAATTGAAATGCTCTGATCGGATTCCGCATGGTTTATGTGACTTTTTCACGCCATGTAAAACTTGTTGCAGTGCTGGACGAGCAGAAAATGACAATATAACGGAGACATGTTTTAAAACCAGCAGAGACGAGAGCAGAGAATAAAGCCACACATACAGCCTCCCAAGTTTCTGCCGCTGCCTCATAAAGCCTTGTTTATACTTTCGCTGATTCTCGACCGCCAGCCTCCGCTCATTGCGCGCACACCTATCCAAATGGACAAGGCGTTCATACTTGATGCGCCAGCTGTTGTATTATTCTTTGAAATGACAGTGGGCGTGTAGATTGGTGCAGGTATGATGTCAGAACCCAGAAGACAAATTGGCCGCTGGTTTTTACTCAAATTAAAAAACCCCACTATAAAACCCCATAGGAAAATCTTAAAAAGGAACTAACGGCAAATTAGTCTTCCAGGTTCTGACGTTGTAATGGTGCGGAGAGACGAGGCGGAGAGAGAATCCACATGCCTGCACGACTTTAATAGCAAAATGCAAAAACATCGATAATCCACACGAGAAGACAGAAACATCCAGGAACTCTCAACCAAATACACAAACACGATCCAACAATGACTAGCAAAACACAACTGAAAAGCACAAACTTAAATACACAGATGCTTGTATAATGCATTTTGACATAAAAGTCCTTACAAAACACAAAACACAGAACCAGGACCGTGACATAGCCCCCCTCAAAGGAGCGGCTACCAGACGCTCCAAAAACAGTCTAGGAGGGAGGTGGAGCGGAAGCAGAATGAGGGAGGGCCAGGCCACTGAAGTAGAAGGTGGTCTGGGAAATGGGAATTGAGGTAGAGCAGGTGGCCAGGGTGGAGATGGCAAATCAGGTGACCACCATGGCAGATCAGATGGAGCCAAAGACCACCAAGGCGGAGCAGACAGAGACGGAGACCATTTCATTGGAGCTGACAAGACTGGCAACCCCACGGTGGAGCACAGGGAACTGAAGACTGTTTAGCAGGAGCCAGAAAGGAGATTACGTTCGGGGGAGCCAGGGAGGAGATGACGCTGGGAGGAGCCAGGGAGTAACCCACAACAGAGCCACTAAGATGAAGGCCCACAGTGGAACAGAAGGAGGGAGGAGCCAGGGTGCAGCAGGAGTGAGGTCAATGTTGGAGCTGGAGGGAAGGAAGAAAAAGGACAGAAAAATGTCTGTGGTGCAACCAGGGTGATGACTGATTAAGGTAGAGCCAGAGGGATGAAGGAGCCCAGCGAAGCCTGAGGGATGATGGTCATGGTGGAGCCCATGGATCGACAGGCCAAGGTGGAATCCAAGGCTCGGAGGTCCGAGGTGGAGCTAAGAGATCGACACACCAGGGTGGAGCTGGAGACCTGGAAGCCCAAGGCAGATCTGAGCTGCTAGGTGGAGCCACCAAAGGAGGGCTGAGAGCAACCAGCAGATACGGGGCAGAAGAACTGGATGGCATAGGAGGAGGGAGTGGGAGTCTGGGTGGGAGCATCAGCAATGAAGGAGACTTGGTGCTTGGAGCCGAAACAGACTTGGAGCTGGGCAGGACCAGCAGTGATGAAACAGACTTAGAACTCATCAGAGGGGACAACGTACTTGGAGAATAGGTAATTTCCCATTCCTCAAATAACACAATAGGGATTCAGCTCTGCACATTCGCTTCAGCACCGGGAGAATTGGCGGGGCACCACTCCACTCCCTCATACTCCATTAAAATGCCCACTGGAATGGACATCGGTGCAAGATTTCGCACCTGTTCAGACTTCATTACCTTTTCTTACACCGGGAATAATGTGGGCTCAGGTGTAAGCTCCATGAAGGATATAAGAGTCTGCTCACGCACTTGGCCAGACATGGCTCTCCGTGGCTCTATATCTACAAACGGAAGAAAAGAAGAAACAGGTGGATTGAATTAATCAAACAATGAAAAACAATGGAAACTAATGCAAAGGAAGGAAACAGAAATGGAAAACAGGAAACAATGAATCCAACTCAAACTAAACTCAGTCAAAACGAGACAATACCTCCCTATATTGAATTATTATTGTTATTATGCTTTTATAACTATAAAATGGAAGTATAAAAACATTTCTACCTGTCTGCTTATCATGTCACAGCTCATGATCAGTGATGAAAGATTTGGGACTGTGCACATTTTTGTCATGCCATCAATGCATATCCCACACCTTTGTCAGTGGAATCCAACAAGGTGCTGCACTGAGACCATTGTTATTTTTTCTATACCCTATTTGGGTTCCATATCAAATCTATAGAAAATCTATAAATTTGTCAAAATTCATTCACTAATCCTCTCAAGGACACATTTTTTTCTTACCAATAATAACTATATAATAATAAATAATACCAATACAAATAATACATTAGTGTTAAGACTTTCAGTTTTTGATGGCTATTCATTATCTTTTTCTTTGTCTTGGCAAATCTAAGCCCACTTCCTCCAAGGCAAAATTTTAGACACTCAAGTGTTCTGTTGAAGGTGACTGTCTTCTCCACCCAGAGCATACTTTGAAAAAAAAAAAAAGGTTGTGGCTAATGGTTGGCAGGAAGTGGACAGTGCCTGACCACACAAAGCACACAATATTTTCTTGAGCTTCGTCCGAATACACACATTTTTGTATTTGGGATGCTGCAAAATGCTTTCATCACTATTTAGTTCACCATATTGTATTCAGTAAACTATTATTTTATATTCTGCCATCAAGACAAGCTAAATTTACATCTACCCTTATAATGCGATTATGGCAGTACTTTGAATAAATTGAAGCTAATGCAAACAGAATACTGTGATTATGTTAATGTGATCATGCTCATAGTTAGAAGAATCCTACCCACCTTACAATATGCACTGACAAAGTGTGCTTGTGCTGCAGATATAATAAGTGTGACGTTCAGCCACAGCTTTGAAAGTATGTTGAAACAGAAAAAGACACTTTATTTTTCATTTGCTAATACCTACAGTAGGAGTGTTTACCACTACTAACTTTAGAATCAGGGCCCAGTCAGGATTTGTATTATCATTAATATGGTCTGCCTGAAAAATAAATCTAAGACACGGCCAAACACTTAATATCCGTGTAATGAAATAAGAGATTAGCCTGCCAGCTGGTCAAAGATATGAAAACAAGATAGCATGCTAACACTATATAGGCACTTCAACTGATTAATGAAACAATCAAGGTATGGAATAATAATGTTTTATAAGAGATTGTAATGCACAAGATAAAATATTTTTCCAAGACATGCAACACAAGAACACAAACAAAATTAGTCAACTGTACTATAATATTATCAGATTGCTAATCTATACATGACAAAAGACTAACACAGTTTAAAAGTAAAATAAAATAAAGTAAAGGAGAAGGAGAAGGAGAAGGAGAGTAAGACTGTGAGAAAGAAGAGAGTGCAAAGAGACATGCGTTTAAAGAAGCATGCTGGGTAAATCTCCCATAACTAATTAAGACTCTCCACTGATCAGATCAACAGAGACCAGCAGGGATCCTGTTACACACTTAAACCTTTATACTGCATGCATGATTGTGTGTGTGTGTGTGTGTGTGTGCGCACATGTGTGTGTAAAATAGTTTGTATATGTTTCCCTGCTGGGCCATGAGGGAGCCCCAAACTGATGGGCACTGGCAAACCAAATCACACATCAGCATAAAGCAACTAAGAAAAGGAGGTTCTGAATTTTGAAGTGTGAAATGTGAGTCTAATTAAGCATGAAAAGCTCATCAAACAGCAAGAGAATCCAGCACCTGATCTCTCCAACACACTCTGCCAAGCTCATCTTCATACTCACAGATAGAACAATACACAGCAGAAGTTCAGCTACTCCCATTCGTCTATAAATCTGTTATTTATTTGTTTAACCAGAACAGGTATCGTCCTTTCAAAACACACTGAAATTAACTAAATGACAGAAGAGAGAGGGAAAGCTTTGTGTGTGCACAACTTCAGTCGGTTTAAAATATTTATGCCTCACAAAAAACTTGCTTTCACCAAGAGAGACTGAGAAAGGGAAAGAGAGACTGG